CATCGCTGGGGTCCCACTGATGCTCGCGTCTCCGCGCTTAACGAGCCGCGGCTAGGATAAGCTTCCTTGATCCCGCTTACCTTCCCTTACATCCGAGGCTGATGTCTCCCGGACCGGTGCGGCGACGATCCTCTCCGGGTTTCAACGGCCCGGTCACTGGGCTACTCGCTGAGTGTTTACCCGGGGCAGACTACAGACTAGGCTTCTCAAGCAACCGAATTCTTTAGTCAAACCGGGCTGGCTTTCAGCTCCGGCATGATTGCGTTGCAGATGGCAAGGTATGCCTTGCTGATCACTGACCTTGTTGGCACGCTGAAATGTTGGGCAAAAAAGCCGGACCCAAATGATACATCTAGCTTTGTTCACTGGGTAGCTAGTTTCACTTGGTTTAAGTTTTTTTTCCTCACCTTCGCTTTCGTTGATTCGATTGCCCCGTTGCTTGATTTGGTCTTTTTAACTCGAGTCCTGACTACTTGAACCTGCAGGGTAGGTAGTTACCTAGGTTTTGATGAAGTCCGGCTTCTTTTCAGCCAAAGGGTGCCAGCGTGTATGCAATTATCTGTTGCCCGTCTTCCCTCAAACAACTGATTGCGGCGGCCGGAAGCCAAGTGTGTTTCCGTCCACACCACCATCTCGAGTGTCGGAAAGACGTGCCGGGGGTACCCTCCTCGATCGCCCCAATAAGGCAGACACCAGAGACTCTTGACCAACAAACTCAAGTGCCGACGCTTGGGATGCCGTCCATTCGCTTACACCCCCACAGGTTGATTGCCTGCATCTAGAGGACCTTCGCGAATTTAGGCTCTGCAACCTTGCCACCGGAGAGACCTTTGTACAGGCACACTCCATACTTGCATGACATGCAATATCTCGAATAGTCATTTGCGACGTGGCGGCTCGCGTTCCCGGTAAGGCATCTGCTGATCAGCGAAGCGGCATATTATTGCCATGTTTTCATCAATGCCAGCCCTTCCAAGATCCCCTTGACGAGATGATCTAATCTGATCGGACATCGACTGATCATGTTGCTTGGCAATATGAACTTGGTTGCACGCGCGCAAGTATACCATCTTAGAATACGTCACCTTCACAGCAACCACATAGGTGGGGGGTAGGAAGGAAGGAACAAGCATAAGTGAGTTGAGTTAACGAACGAAAGAAAGCCGACGAGTTGCAACTCTGTTCCCTGGAAAGCTCGAGACGCCGATTCAACAGCTCGAACGAGGGATGGCCGGGATGTGTGAAGAACCGTATGATATGCTAAAAAAACGCCATGATAGCTTCCCAAGCCGGGGCCGTCTCATGTCTCCACGGCAGTCTCAACGGCCATAGATGCGCCTGTGACTTTCCACGTACACATGGGAGTGCAGGTGGACATCAAGCGCAGCTTGTCCAAACGTAGCTAAATGGAAGATTGACCGTGGATAAGCCATCGCTGGTAGCAAAGTTGGGATGTGATGTTCTGTAGCTACAACGCAGCATCTGGGTGAATCCGACGAGTAAAAGATACGTCGAGTCTGGAGGCAAACTGTCCATCGGTCTGTATCTGGGCCCTCTTACAACTAATTGCAGCTGACTTCTCAATTGGACATCTCACGTGGAGTATTGCCGTTCACGGAACTAATTTATCACAAGAGATATGAACCATTTTGGGAGATACTCGAATATATTGGAACTCTGGGAGTCAATTATAGAGCTCGAAGCTCAACCGCCCTTGCTTCGTCGAGTATGGGCAGATAGAATGCGTGTGACTGCTGATCTCCCGAACTCATACCACACCCAGTCCTTGCTGTAGATATCCGACGGCGCTGGAGTATAGCAAGCCTCGCCCACATTCGTGTCCCGGAAGTGAAATACGACAGCACAGCAGTAAACAAAACCAGGGGGGTTGAGGGCTCAGGAAAGGATCACAAAGGCTGACAAGATGGGAGTGGTGAGCGCTGGATCGTCGGGTTTCGGTTTTTGTTTCTCATTTTGCCCACAGAATAAAGCGAACAGTTAGATGACTGCTGTTCTACCTACCAATCTCGAAACAGACTGTTGAAGAAGGCAAGAGCAGTTGAAGTTAGCCCGCCCGAGGGGTTGCTCCCAAAGAAACCAGGGTCTTGGTTTGAGCCCCACCCAAAACGCTAATTGACCAACCACAACCCCGCTAACATTTTCAACTTTGGAACCACAACCATTTTCAAGTTCCCGTTCCAAAGTCCAAACCCGCAAGTCGTCTCCCAACCTCGCGACGGACAGACGGACAGACGGACGGACGGACGGGCAGACAGCGAACCCTCGGCGCCGCGTTCCATCGAGGGACCTACACATACCGTCATCGAAGCAAAAACACACCCAAAAAAAAACAGCCCACAATGAACCGACACGCCTTCCGATCCGCCATCGGGCGCGCAACCCCCTCCACCACCGCCCGCGCCCTGACCCTCCCCATCAGCACCACAACCCCGACCACCTTCTCCTCCTTCTTCTCGACCACCACCCCCCGCCCCTCGGACAACGACTCCAGCGGCAGCAGCAGCAGCAAACCCCGCTCCCAATCCGCCGCAGTCTCGCGCCTCAGCCAGCTCAACACCTTCCGCCGGGGCGACTCAGCCGGCCCATCGTCACCCTCATCATCACCATCTTTCCGCGGCGGCGGCAGCTTCGGGGGCCGGGGCGGCCGAAGCGGCGTGGACGCCCGCTCGCTGCGCGTGTCGCCCGACGGGGGCCCGTCGTCTGGGCCGCGCGTGCTGAACGTGCGTAGCTTGCGCGGGGGGATCCGCGGTGGCATCCGCGGGGGCATCGGCGGGCGTACGCCGTTTGGGCGCGGCGGTGGCGTCGGCGGCCGGTTCGCGCCTGGTGGTCCGGGCGGCGCTGGCTCGCCTGGGAGGCCGCGGTTTGGGTTTGGGGCTGGGGCGGGCTCGCGCGGGGGGTTCGGGCGCGGGGGATCCCGGCCCGGTTCGGGGAGGTTTGGGGGGTTTAAGGGTAGAGGGGCGGGAGGCCGCGGCCAGGGGGGCCGTGGGGGCGGTCGCTCTCAGCGCGACGGGAGGAGGGGCGGGAAGGACAAGCCGGGCGCGCCCAAGGGGGGCAAGCTGATTTGGGAGCCCGAGGAGCAGGCCGTGATCGACCGGCTGGAGAAGGGCGAGGTGGTGCCGTTCGACCCGAAGCTGACGATGGACTCGCTGACCGGGTACGGCGCGGCGGTGGCGACGGACGCGCCCATCGGCCAGGTCGAGACGGTGCTGCGGACGATGCGGCTCATGACGGGCGGCATGGCGTTCAACTCGGACTCGGGCGTCACGGCCGATGTCAAGCAGGTCATGAAGCGGTACCGGGCCAAGAAGCCCATCTTTGTGCACAGCAAGGAGGAGAAGGCGTGGATCGAGAGCGCCCAGCCCCGTCTCAAACTGGTCGGACCCGACGCCGGCACCAAGAAGGCGATTATCGAGCCTGCGGTCCTCGGCAAGTACGAGGCGGCTGGCTTCGCCGAGGCTGGCGACGTCGCGGGCACCATGGCCAACTACCACTCGCGGACGTTCACCTACATGGCGGCAGACTCGCAAAAGTTCATAGACAAGGTCATGTCGCTGCTGCCGGCGCAGCAGCGTGGTCAGCCCACTTCTCAGGCTAAGCCTTGACGGAGGAGGAAAGGGGAAGAAAATGAACGAGCTCGTGGGCCCGGGCTTTTTGTCTCCATATGTAACAATACAATACCGTCTCGGCCCCCCATGTTTTGTTAGCTTATTTGTACAGAGGTTTATCCGCATAGAAACACACATATCATTCCATCTTTCACGCCGCCGGGGGGGGGGGGGGAATCTATCTCCCTGCTCTATCATCAGTAGCAGTATCATCAGCAGGTTTTGCCCTCCATCTCAGCTCGCCCGCGCCATAATCGCCCCCACAGCCTCCTTCTCCTTGGCCAAGATGGCCTTCATGCGCTCGTCCTGCAGCTTCTGCAGCCGATCCTTCAGCTTCCGCGCATCATCGCTCAGCACTACCCCGTCCCCGCGCCACTTCTTGTGTAGCTCGGCGCGGCGGTGCGCCTCGTCGCGGACGCGGACGCGCCAGGCCTGGCAGACGTCCTTGGCGCGGCGGGCCAGGGCGTCAGCGCGCTCGGGCTCGACCGTCATGGTCAGCTCGAGCGGGTTGTCGGCGCTGCGCTGCGGCTGCTGGTTGAAGTCGGGCGAGCGCTGCACCGCGCTCACGATGGCCTTGACAGACCCTTCCTCGAAGGCCAGGATCGACCACCGCCGCCCGCCCAGCGGCGCCACCGTCGCCAGCTCCCGCAGCGGGAACGTCTGCGCCGGGTTCTTCTTGTCTACCTGGACCGCGATGGCGCCGATTACTTCTGCGTTGAACCGGCCCCCGCTCCGGAGCTTCTTGAGCTCCTCGCTGAAGCGCGACTCGGCGCGGTCGAAGGCGGTTTGGAGGTCGGTGAAGTCGAATGGGTTGATATCGTCCGCTTCCCCCGCGGCGGGGGTGGGCCGGGCGGCGCTACTGCTGTCGGTGGTGCTGTTGGTGTCGCTGTCGCTGTTGTTGTTCTTTGTTTTCCTCTTGTTTTTTTGGCATTTTGCTGTATGGGAGAACGGCCGGATTAACGGACCATTCCATGGCGCGTTGTAGCTAACAGCGATGGGGACGGCGACGGTGCCGGAGTGGGAGGCGGGTGTGGTGGGCTGGTTCAACAACGGCCTTCGGTTTTGGACCAAGGACGAAGTTGCCCTGCAACTACAACGTTAGCCTGGATTTTGCGTGATTGGTAAGCCATTGGGCTGTCAGACGAACCTCAGCGGTGCCCCGCTGGCCGCATTGCTGCGGAGTATGTTGTTGGCAGTGCGTAGGTGTCTCATGGTATCTTTATTCTTCACTTTGTGTGTTCCTGCGCTCTGCGTTTGCAGTGTTTTACACAGGGACGTCCATGTGTTGGCGGGGAGCCAATCAAGCTGGTCGGGGGCTTGCGCCTGGAGCCCAAAGGCTCCAGTGATTCCGTGCTTCACAGTCACCTCTAAAACGGCTGCGTGGCCCAGTGGTTAAGGCATCTGCTTTACAAGGATATTGTCTCGCAGAGGATCGCAGGTTCGAGCCCTGCCGCGGTCATTCTTTTGCCCCTCTACTCCAGTGAGGATGTTGCTTTTTGTTTTACACTTGCAGTAGTCGGAGCTCGAAACCGCCGGTTTTTGATAGAAGACAACGATCGGGTGATAGGTTGGGTGTTGGGGTATCACCTCCTAGTGGGACGCCGTTAAGGACGTAGGTACCTACTTTGAGAGTTGTTGGCCGAGTTTGATCCGGAGGGTGGATACGGGAGGTTAGGTGTATAGGAGAAGACGATGCGGGCCCGAGTAACAACCTGGCTACCTATATTATGACACTGGAGAAAGTCCATGATAACCTATAGGAGACAAAGCACTCCTGCATCGATCGTCGCGAGATAGGTAGTTGGTTGTATGGAATAGATAGGTAGGTAAAACACATGCTGACAGGCCGACAGGCCGACTGACAGCGAACTAAGTCTCGGGATTCAAACTCTCCCCTCGCCTTGCCGAGTCCTTGCCGTCATAGTCAGGCTGTAAGAATACCACATACCAATCCTCTCTTCCTCCTTCTCACAGGTAGTCAAATCCGAATCCGGCCCATTTTACTCCAGTCCCACATTAGAAGACCCCACACACTCTCGCGTATCCCACAGTCGACCCTTCGCATCCCTTTGTTGTGCCGCGTCCTCCGCGTTGGTTAGTTGTCAAGGTCCGCCTTCCCGCCCCTTCATTCTTCCCGTACACGATGATAAATGAAGAAGAAAAAGGACCCTTGACACATAGCGCGAGGGTGTTTGCCGCCCAATGAACCAGGGTAGGTGAATCCGACAGCTGGTCATCATTTCCTCCTTCAGTATCAGTTTCTTCCGCTGCACAATTCTCTCCCTCCAAATCGGTTCCTCCCTCAGCATCGACACACCCTTCTCCTCTGGGCCCTCGATTCTTCTCGGCACCTTTCACTTCTCTCCCCCACTCTCTTCATCCTCGACTTGGTTAGTGTACGACCACCCACGGAACTGTGGCGGTCCCTAGTTGACTTGATCCCCACAAAGCAGGCACTTGACAGGTTCCGTCCAGACCTTCTCCCCACCGACCACGCCTTCCCGCAGATCCCGGAATTCGATCATTGGTGGGCCCATGTCGGCCGTCTTCAGCGCCGCCTCGAACAGTCCCTCCCACGGCCGCGAGCTGTCGCCGTTAGCCTCCGCGCCTGCCTTCTTCCGCGGTCTGCCCGGCTTGCGCCCTGGCGTTGACTTGCTGGTGCCGGCCGGCTTGCTCGGTGTGTCTGTGTTGGTGGTGTTCTCGCTCACCGCTCGCCGTGGCCGGTCGGCGGACCGCAGGGGCAGTGAATCCTCGGGCGCTGCCTGGGCGTCCTCGTCGTCGGCCGCCTGCCTGACCTCGACGTTATCTTTCGCGCCAACATGCACCGCATCGGATGGCGCAGCCTCGGACTTGACGTCGATTGACTGCTCCGCGGAGCCCTCGGCGCCGGTTTCGGAGGGGCTTAACGGTCGCTTGCCCTCGTCGCCATTCTCTTCCTTTTTCGTGGCTACGGGGGGTAGGTGTGGCTTGTCGGTGCCCAATCGCTTATATACCGCGCTCAGCGCATCGTCAAGGATGCACTGTTCGTGCATCCACTTTTTACATGCTTCCGTTGTGCACCCTATCAGCATCTTGTCGGGATTCCCGGGTGTGTTGCAACTGCATACGAGCTCGACAGTCTAGGGAAAATATGAGGTTAGCGCAAATCCCCAATGGGGAATCGGGTGGCAGGAAGTGATTGCATACGGAAAGCTCATATGTCCTGACGTCGAACGCCTGCCTCCAGTACAGGGCATTCTGTATCTCCTCGTCGTTTTCCTCGTACCACTGCTTTACTTGCGCCTGCGAGGTGACGCTCACGACGTTGATGATATCCACTGCGCTGACGTCAGTATCTCTGAGATCGCTCCATAATGTGCGCCATGGCCATGAGTGCTTACTGTGATTCGATGCGATTAGCTCGTTCATGCCGTGGTATTGTTGGCGGCTCTGGACTGTCTTTCTGCCATCGTGGGTCCCCTGCGGGAGCTCGTCGGGCCAGTACATCCAGTAGACTCGCGCATACACGTGGTGTTCGTCGCTTGCGCGGATCTCCAAGATGCGCGCAACCCAGTCGTCGTCCGACTTCTTCCTCGGTTGCATCGGCTCGTTGTTATTGACAGCTTTCTGGCGCTCGATGCTGAAGTCGTTCGCGACGTAGATGAAGCCTTCACTGAAGTACTTGATCCCGTTCACTGCGCGTCAAGGCAAGCCTTGCTGTTAGTCCAACGTGGTCCGAGGCCGGCGCGTAGGGCAGATAGAAGCGATGAAAAAAAGTAAACTTACGGACGAAGCTATTGTATCTCGTCATGTCTGTCCATCTCTTCGCGGGGTCGACTTGGTAATAGAGATCCATGGTCTCGTGCGTCTTGAACTTGCCACAGGGCGCAAAAGGCGACATCTGCAGGTTGATTCTCTGGGCTGTGTCCTCCTCGTCACCATTCTCGGTGCGCCGGCGCTTCTTCTTCTTTTGCTCCTTATCCTTGGGATCGACGATCTTGATGGTGAAGGGGCATTCTGCACGGTTGTCCTCGGGCTCGGCCCTCGGCCTCTTGCGCGCGGACGCCATGATTGCCAAGTGTTGCGATGTTTTGCGCCGGGATGAATTGGCGTCGAATCAAGGATGGGACGGCTTTCCGTCTCAATCGCGGGTGCCGGGTACAGATAATCAGCGCGTCGCGACGGTCGGTCGAGTAAAAACAGACGCGCGCGTGCGAATGTGTCAAGGTCGTGGTTGTGACGAAGGGTTCAGAAATGTGTCGGCTCGCGAGGGAGTTGAGTTGCCGGGGGTGGGTGTTCCGGGAGGAGGAGCGTGGGGAGCAGCAGGCAGTGGTGCGGTCACCTCGGTGGCTGGGGAATACCACCGACGGGGGAAAGAGTCGGACCACACCGATCGGTGTGCCACGGATCTTCTCTCGCCTCAAAAAGCCGATGGCAGCCTTGACACGACTTCCCCAAGGCCGTTGCTGTGCAGGCGAGCGATGCTCCTGCGTCAATGGACAATGGCAGTTGCGGTTGCAGTTGGCAGACAGTCGGCACGTCTCTGTCGCAACGAAGATGACAGCAAAATTTACGGAATTCCGCGTCCGCCAACCGGGGGCAGGAAATGGAGACCCAGCCACGTGATTTTGTGAGGGGGATAAGCTGGGAATGGGGGGAAATGATGTGGCTGGAGACGCTCGGCTCAGCACGGCGCTGCCAAACCCATGCCAAGCCAAGGAATCTCAGGAATGAGGGCGACGCTGGAAGGGGCGGAGGAGTTGAGCAACCTGGAAGGTTGGAAGGTGCTAGGGTATTCGTAGAACAAACCCACCTCGTAGCTTCCATTGTATGAACATATACCTAATTGGGCGTGGAATCGCTAACCGACCAAGTTGGTTGTAACCCGAGGCCTCAATGAATTAATGTATGGTTCCATTTCTTCATGCCCGGTATGGCCCTCCTTCATCGGCATATTACAGGGTCAACCAAGCAGATGACTCGCAACGAATCAGTCAGACAACGAGACAACGAACGCCGTCGCTATGCATCAAGTGTAAAACAAACCCAGCAAACTTCCCTCACCGATCCGTCTCCTCGTCATAGACATCCAAAATAGCCCGGCTCTCCTCATCACTTTCCCTCTCTGCATTACTCGTCACCTTGAACCCCTCGATAATCTCGGCCAGCTTCTCCCCCTCGCTGCGTCCCCTCTCAACATTGATACACCACATCAGCGGCGCGGGGAGGCCGACGATGACAGCGAGGAACCAGAAGGCGGGGCGGATCTCGCCCGAGGCGTCGATGATGGCACCGACGATAGCCGGGCCGAACACGCTGGACCCCTTGTCCGTGATGGCGTACAGCGCGTAGAAGGCGGCCTCGGATCCGGGCGGGATCAGCTCGCCGTAGAGCGAGCGGCAGTAGCCGCTCAGGCCGCCCAGGACGAAGCCGTAGACGGCGGCCAGCGGGTACATCTCCCAGGGCTGCTGCAGGCCAAAGACACCCCAGTTCTTGACGAAAGGCAGGTAGCCGAGCAGGCCGTAGAGCGGGATGATCTCGAAGAGTGCGATACAGGCGAGAATGGTTTGGTGGGCCTGGAGGCGGAGGCGGCGCGAGATGAAGGACCACGAGAAAGCGCCCGTAATACCGGCCGCGGTGGAAATGACGTTAATCATGCCGAGTGCCCACGGCTCCATGTGTAGCTGGGTCTTAGCGAAGAGAATGGCGGTCGAGGACGTGGTGGCGATGGCGTCCGAAAGGAGAAACCAGCCACCGAGGAAGAGCATGATGTCGACGAGGCGGCGGGCGAGCTGGATAGTGCGGAACAGGGACTTCCAGGCGTAGAGGGTGTAGGAGATAAAGGCGCGGATGCCGCTCTGGCGCGACGATGCGGGCAATGGGGGCCCTGGTCGGGGACGGAGCCACATGGCGGCTGGGACGGTGAAGAAGGCCCACCAGACCCCGATGACAAAGAGGACGACGCGTTGAGACCAAGTCGTGTTTTTCATTTGGATAAGGATGAAGATGGCGACGCACTGCAGGAAGAGGCCGGCGATGTAGCCGATCCCGATGCCCTTGGCAGAGATCTGCGTCGACAGGTTGAGCTCGTGCGAAGTCAGCTCCTCGCGGGTCTGCACCCGGGAGATGGCATATCCGTCCTCCAGGGTGTCCCGCGGCAGTAAAGCGGCCGTCGAGTCGGCCAATGTTGTCTCTCCATCCACGTCTTGGTGATCCTGTAGGTCTAGACCATCCGGGACGAGGTTGGCCTCCTTGTGAATGATCTCGGGGTGGTGCCTGACAAGAAGCGGCAGGAACGAGTTCAAAAGCACGAAGGATGCGCCGAAGGAGGTGTTCGAGACGATGGCGAGCAGTGCGCCAAAGAGATAGAGCTTGCTCGAGACAAAGATATAAAGCATAACGGCAATGCTCCCGATCCAACCAAAAGCGAGCAGCAGCTTCTTGCGGTAGTTTCCGTGGTCGGCGGCGCAGCTGATACTA